TGCGATACGGTATTTGGCCAGGGCGCATATGTGGCGGTGATGGTTATTGGAATGTGAGTAATGCGAAATCTCATGATCATAAGACGGTCTCGATAAAGTTATAAACCCAGATGCACACTTGGCCCCGGTGAAACAACCTGAAAACAACTTGTTTGCAAAACTTGTGTTAATTCCCTTTTTACTAGAAGCAACTATCCGGCAGGTGCAATGAAGACGATTTCCTGCTTTGTCAGGTCTGTTGTAATCAGCCTGTGATGACTTTGTCATTGTGAAGTATCAAGTTCTCATCACAATAGCCTAATCTACGCCCAGTTTACCCCGAGATTGGATGAGGGTAAATTAACAAGAACATCGCAGATTGACAGATTCACCGAGAAAGAACAAGAGGGAGAGAGAGAGAGAGAGAGAAAGATAAAGATAAAGAAAGGAGAGTTAAATGTGGAATTAGGGATAATTTGTATGGCACAAAGATAATGGAGAATATATGTGCATTCACTCTATTTCAGTTAAGGTGATAAGGAGACCGGTAGTTGAATATATACTGGGGTATGTATGTAAGCAGCTAAGGGTACAAGAACTTAAACACACTGGGCCGTATATTTGTGACTGTCCTGTAACATGATTCCCATCGAAAGGGTCGTCACTCGATCGGTCTGACAAATGTAGACGATATTGTTTATGTGGTCTGATTGTGGAGGGATAGTGCAATCGGAGCCTCAGCATAGGGGCAGGCAATCGGTAAACGTGGTGCCGTGACTGGGCGTGTCCCAGCCTCCTTGAATGTATTACAAATGGCTGCACAACCCGACATCACAGGCCTGATTAGGCCTGTTTCTCCGTTTAGACGGTATGCCGAATGCAGGAGTGATTGCGGCCAGTTCGACTACCGACAGCCTCGACTACTCTGGGGGCCCAATTCCAGAGCCGTTTTCTGTTCACACACCTTTTCAAACCAACACATACACATACACATACACAGGCATACACACAATTCACACGTTAGAAAATGGACGCACAAACATGCTTTGTTTGCGCCAGGGAGGAGAATGAATTCTGAGCAAAAGGAGGCTGGCGCTGACTAGTGTAAAGAGGGACTTGCTCTATCCGCCATGTAAACAGTGAAAACAGGCATCACGATAAGAGAAGGGGTGGCGTCGAGGATGAGTGGTGTATCCTCCGGACAAGTGAGCCCTGCCGAAAAGGCTTGGTGTTTTGAGGCAAGCGCGAGGCTTGCTGAGTGATGAATGGGTGAAGGATAAGCATGATAAAGGCGAGCGAAAGAAGATGTGCAGGTAGGGGCGGGTTGGGGTGTGTTGACATTAGTACAATGCTCATCGAAAGTCATGGCGAAAATGGAATCGCGTTAAATAGCGACAGCAATAAAGGGGCTCAGAACACAGTCGCCTTCATTGAGCAAGACTACTAATTAAGCCGATGAATAAATGTATCATGTAATGATAAGCTATTACGAAGTGTTCAGGAGGGTTTGATCAACCATATTTTGCAACCCCTGCCATTGGGAGGTATGCATTAAACGCATCAAGACATTTGATTACACCTGACTTGAAGTTGAACGTCTTATCATAAAAGATGAGGAGTCGAGTGAATATGTTAGTTGGGGAGACTTCACAATTGTCACTTCTGGAGTATAACAACAATGTATAGGATACATCGAGCTGAGAAGCCGCTTTTCGGAGAAAATCTCATCCCAACCTGTCTCCAAACCAACGGCATCACAGAGACTGACACCGTTGAACATGCCTTGCTGAGCTCCCTTGAAATGAAGATTCTAACTTTTTTTCGTATCACCCAAGTCAATCTCCCTTTTCTACCGAATTATGCTTAGACAAAAAAATGCAAAATTTAATTTAAATGTGTATTTGATGGCATTGACATTGGGTCTTGTCATATAAACTAGGAAGCAGCAGATGCCTGTAATGGCAAAGATAGGGTCTCTAAGTGAAATCAAATCCCTGTCAATTTATCGTCATGCCCACAAAGAAGCACATAGGCGCAGCTGCCTGCGTCCATAGTCGGAGGGCTACTAGCATAAAAAATGTATGAATGCCATACATTTTAGTCTATTTATCATTCGCCAGTCTCCTCATTAAGCTGGACCAGTAGTCTCGGTGACTTAGACTGAGACAGATGGTAATGGGAGTCGGTGCCGCAAGTGCATTTACGAACTGGCAGTTGCTGCTACTTGTCACTTTCCGTAAAAGGGAAGTGGGTTGACCTCGTTTTCGCAACTTGGTCTTGTTGTCATGGTGACTCAGTAGAACGCCCCTTGTCCGAAGTCCTCTGCCATAGTAGTTATCATAATCCCTAGCATCAGACAACGTACTTGGTACATTCTCAGAGGTTCCGCCAGCATCGTAGACGGCATCATCAGTGAGTGTTGCCATTCTCCGCACCAAACAACGAACTTGTCAAAGATGCAACTACTATGGCGGAGGACTTTGGACAAGGTACGTTCTATTAAGTCTCCCCGATAATGAGGTCAACTCACTTCTATATATCGAAAGGAGACTTCGACAGTATCTGGAGCTATACCATCATGGAATTCATAGCTTCAGTTAGCTTACGAAATTTAATTCAAGGCCAGAATGCCCAAGAATTTCAGTAATTATCTATCTTGGCGAATCACACCGATTATAAGAACTTGAATCATGTTAATTCTGGAGTATAGTCAATTTAGCTTCCCATCGTACAAAACAACAATAAGAAGCAGTCTGTCATTAGGAATAGAGTAGAAACTCTAGATAAGAATGCTTTTTGTGAGGCAAAACTAGGTGAAATTCGATGGCATTGTGAGAAATTTTAACTGCTAAACCTTCCTAAGTTAAATAAAGTTCTAAATAAGGATTAACACTTGTTTAACCTATCTTTGACAACTTGATCATGGTTACCGAAATACCCTATAGAACTTACCTTATCCCGCGTCTTCTATAATTCTTAATCATGATGATTTTCAGGATCAGACCGATCGTATGATACATTCTAAGTAGTTGATTTAGCATTGAAATCGGTAAAAAGGTCTCTCCTATGGAGTGAATTAAAACAAAAAAGGTGAAAATTTTGATTTAGAGGTAGTAGAAGGCGAAACTACCGCTATAAAAAATAGGAAAATCTCATAATCGTTTATTGAAAATCTGGTCAAGATGTGTACTATATATGCCTCGTGAATTGTAAGTCGGTGTTAAAGATAGCGCTTCTTACTGACTATGCAGGTTAAGATGTTGGTGAAACATATGGGAACGTGTGAAGTCAGCAGTCCTAGAAATTACCAAAATTACACAGTACTGGGTAAGGTCTCTCTGTCACTACGATCAAGTTGCGAAAATTTGGTAAAAACTGGTAATTTTATTTTTATGATATGTATTCATCCTATTTTGTTTATGATAAGAAGGGGAGTGGTAGTTGAATTTTCCCACCATGATATGAGTAGACATGATGTTTCCATTTAATTTCACAGCCCAGCTTTTCCAAAAGTTATTCTCATCCAGAGCGGACTGATATTCCGACGTTGCCTAGGCCTAATCATCACCCCCAGCGGGACTCAAACTATGACAGTGCAGCGTATAATCTCAACACATTAACCATCCTAAACAAAATAGGAAGAATACAACACATATATATGATCTACTTATGAAAACGATAAATATGTAACGTTGTCGAGTGCTATAGCTTAATCTACAATCTCATCAGAGAATATGACATGGAAAAATGCCTAGCCATTCTTGAAATTCACATCCTCCCTGTGACCCAAGAGATCTCATTGCAATGTGGCGCAATGTTTGGCGTGCTGAAATTATACACTGCACTTCCCTGGCCCGAGTCCCTCTGGGGGTTTTGATAAGACCTAGGCGAGGTCTAAACTACAGTCCAATTTGGATGAGAATAACTTTTGGGAAAGCAGGGTTGTGTGAAATTGAATGGAAGCCCTCTATCTACACATAGCATTGTTTAAAAATTCAACTTCATCTTCAATAATTGATCTATTGGTAGTATCTGAAGCCTATTTATAAGAGATAATTAGGTTTTATTTTCATTTGGCATTGCATGGAACGAAACTGGTGACATTTGCACTGAATCTATCTTCGTCATAAAACACAAATGGTTTTTCGCATCCTCGCTTAACTACTACCTCGACTTCACACAATTGTCTCATCAGAATGCAATTTAAGATTCTGACATCGGATGTGTGAAGACACCAATATCTGAGCCCAGCCCGGTTAAGAAAGAAATGTTTGCTTTTTAAAGCTAAACAGACTTTTAGCAAATCATTTAGTTGGAGGGGCATCCTTATCCAAGACGAACTGCTGTCTATCGGTGACATGCATTTTTTGTACCTGGTTGGTCTCTGCTTCTAAACCTTGATTGATATAA